TAATGTACACGATTTGTGGAAAAGGCATAATTTATCTGTTTTGCTTATGTTGAAGTAAAGTCTTAGATTCTTAACTATTTTAAATCAGTATTGATTTATTAACATTAGTTAGGTTGCTGTTATTCATACCACTTGGGAATCATTATTTTCTCTGATACAGAACCCCAAAAGTATTCCAGTTCAGGAAGCTCTGTCATCATGGTTATAGGGGGAACAAACTATTTAGAATCTTAGTATGTGCTGTCTGTAATACTTTCAAAGTGCTACTTTTAGGGGTACATATTTTATTAGCCTCTAGACAGGTTTTGATCACATTTTCACATCACAGTGTGTAGTGGCATTAGTGAATTAATAAGTGAATTGATTTTGTCCCATGTAATGGATTGAGTTTTTTTATCTGGTCTGATTTGTAATGTCAGCTCTAAGGATAAAAATACGTCAACATAACTAAAATAACATTTCATTGAAGTAGTTAGAATGAGCAGCCAGGATCAGAGGCAATGTGCATTAAGCCAGTACTATGCTGCATTATGCTCTTTAGTTAGCCATTTAACTGTTGTGGAAACTGCCTGCTTGTAATGAGTTTTCAGTCAGGAAGTTAACAATTGGGCTCCTACTCATGGCTGCTCTCCTCTAGTCCTCACAGTTTATCATGATTCACATGTGACGTGTAGCAGGAGTAATGGTCACACAATTGCAGACAAGCACCTCTACTGTGGCAGAGAATAGGCTAAAAAGAAATCCATTGGAGGAGGAAGGACAATTTGTGTATTTGCAGTTTTACCACAGTCTTCCTGTGTGTCTCAGAGAGGGGCACTTAGCCTTCTGGTGTCTGTGTTTTAGCCAGTGCTGTGGGAACACGTGCTGTTTCACAGATTTAGAAGTTAATTCCTCATTGGTTCTGTCTAAGAGTAGTCTGCTTTATTTATCAAGGCTTTGGCTTTCAGTCTGCATGTGGGGCACTCAGCCTTTTGATTTAGCAAGTTATGCTGAAATCAAATCTTGTATGGTTTGTATGAGTAGTGCAATTTACACCCAGAGTGCGTATCAGAGAGAGTGTGGACCTTTCCAACCTGTGCAACCTTCGTTAATAAAGATACAGTGACTGCTGTTGACCTCTTGTGAAAAGTAGATCCATTCGTGTTTTTATTCTGTGGCCTGAATAGAAGATACAACAGAATGGGCACTGTTCACTCAACGTGGGAATTCTCTGTTGCTCTGACTCATGTAGAGCAGCAGGGAGGGGGAGGAAAACGGGCTCCACACACCCGGTATCCAGTTTTGTAATTTACAAAATCTTTTTGATCTAAACTTTGCACATTTAATATTCCAGAGGGTATTCGTGAGTTTGATAAAAGTCTGTAGTAGTGCTGGAGAAAGATAAGGCTCACTATTGTACTAAAACACTGTTTTGGTGCCAAGACAGTTTATTATGCCTTTCTGTTGCAAGACTAATAGTGCCCATCAAACTTTGTATAATTTGGTATTACACAGAATAAAGATAAAAATACACAATCGTTCTCTAAGTTGCAATACAAAATACTTCAAGTTTAATACTCAACTATATTGCAAACCAGTCCATTAGCATGATGTAGTGCTTCACAGTAGCTGGGAGAAATACAGTGTGATGAAATGTACCAATGTGGCAGGGACCAAGTTATTTTTGTGTAGAATAGAAAAGATCCTTACTTTTTCCCCCATTCTAATCAACTGTTATTTTGCCCATATGTTTTCTGATGTGTCTTGCAGAGTTTCATGATAGGCTTTCAAAGCTGGATGAAATTTTCTGTTCCAGCATTGTGGTCAGTCAGTTTTTAGCATGCATAAAAGAACCAGTGTTCCTATGTTTTTCTTTGGGCCTGTGAAGTCAGAGTCGCAAGGAATAGAACAAAGCCTCAGAAGATATAACAGGAGCCTTTGGGAGCTAGTGGGGAATTGCAAACTCTTTGTTTATTGCACCTGGCACTTTCTCAAAATCTGCTTCACAGGGGCCAGACCAATCATTTCCTCAAGCAGATAAGAAGGATGCTTTCTCTCCCTGAGTCAAAGCTCTGTGAGTTTGTAAATAAGACAGTAAAAATGTCTTATTTACAAACATTCTAGAGGGATTATAGATAATATATTGCAATATATTTTATCTCAGAAAACCTGAACTTCAGGACCAGTTAAAATGGTTAAAAAGTATGGACTTTAAAACCACCTGCAATCACAAGAGTTGTAACAACATGCATTGTGCCTTAATTGTCTGAAATGAGATTTTAAGCATTCTAAACAGGTATTAAATTGGAACAACAAAAAATAAAAAGCTGGCCCCCATTTTCAGGAGCGTTCTGGTGTATTTGAGACCCGTGTCAGGAGCTCTGGGGAACTTACCTCTGTTGGTGCTCCACAAGAGAGGAAATAGAAGGAAATGTGTCCCCTACATCTCCCAGGTTGTTTCAAGGCAATGAGTCAGGACCATTTTACGCAAGTTTCTTAATATGCATATTTTTTATTTCTGCTGTTGATATGATTTCATGGATCTTGTTTGATAGACACAGTCACAAGTGTCAGTCTGTCAGATAAAGCCCAGGAGCTAACCAGACCTTCTGTTTCTTATCCATCTTTTCTTAAATCTTCATTCTTAGGAGTTAATCCAGAAGATGTAAATATGGAAGTAATTCTGTATAATCTTCTTCTTAAAGGCAGTCTTTCAGAGATTTAGACAATGCAGAGCAACTGTTTTAATCTTCCATCAGGCAAATAGAAGCAATTCTCTACAGTAGAATCCTTTGAGTGATTGTTCAAATTTAAGCTCTATTTTCCAGTATTATGAATTTGAGTTTCCACCATGGATTGAAATAAGATTTTTAATACAGTTAGAGTGTACAATTGTTTTATTATTTTTTGTATTATATATTGTAATTTAATGCAAAAGTCCAAACATTTTAACGTTCATATATTAAACTGTAAATAACACCAAAGCAATGGAGTTGAAATGAAGAGTTCTAACTTCACCGAAACCAAGTATGTGTATTTAATGCAAGTAAATTGTTTTAAGTGTATTCCCTTAAGAAAATACTGATTCTATAAAATCACTGAAATTCTAATTATTTCTCTGTTTTCTGGGAAAATGTTACTTTCTTGGCAGTTTTAAATTAAGATTTCTCTGTGAGACATCATTCTAAACACATGAATACTATAATACTGATTTTAATAGAAATGGTTTAGATGGCTTTTAATGCAAAACATAACTGACCTGAAATTTCTTGATGGGAAATCTAACATGATGGAACAGACTTCAAAGTCTCCTATGAGAAATATGCTAGAAGCAAAATATCTTAGAGTATACTGTAGGGGGAAAAATTGAAGCTTTTCATGGAAATGTACTATTTCATGTCTGTGACTGAATTTTGTTTCATTTCAACCTGAAATGAAAGCTTTGTTCTTCAAGGGCAATAATGGCATGTTTTTAGTAACTCCTTAGCTTTCAACAATAGTGTATAATATTTGGGTTCACCATTGTGTTAAAACCATGTTTTTCTGTGTGGCAACTGACTGCTGTGGCATAATGATTTATTAGTGTTGACACTCCAGGGTTGTTTGTCAAAAGCTCAGCTTTTGCTCCTTCTGGCACATTACATACAAATTATGTTAATCACTATAGTGCAGATTTTAACCTAATTATGTTATACATCTTGAACAATTATAATTTCTGTAAGGGAAAGATGTCTGGCATTTTATTTGTTAATATATTTTTTCTTCTTTTGGTATTCCACAGAAGAAGCTGCATTAAAAAGTGATAGTATGTGTGGAGGTTTTTTTGCTGCAGTTTATGTTTTAGATTATGCTGCTAAAATATGTGAAAGCTGATTTTATTTTTTAGGACTTTAACAATCTGTTTATATGAATTAGCAGTAAGCTGTAACTTCACTTTCAGAATTTCACAAAGGAGTAGCAAAATGTAATTTCTTTTTTTTTGTATATAGATAACACACGTCTGTGCATCTTAAAGGATTGGTCTGCTCAAATCTGGCTTAACAACAGTGATCAGACTTCTGTGTTCACACACAGAGACAGACTTTCCATCTGTAGCATTACAAACTGAAATGCAGCTCAAATCAATCCAGACAAAGTTCACATACTGAAGAAATTAGTCTGAGCCATGGTCCAGAGTGCACAGCCTAAGGAGACCCCTCCTAGCCTAGCCCCAGCTGCCTGCCTTGCCAGCTGTGTTTAGCAAAGCAGAAGGACCAAACTATCCCAGGCAAGTCAGGGCTGAGGGGTGGTGGCAGGCCAAGACTGGGAGTTGGCCTTTATCATATCTGAGGTTTGAAGGAAGACATCTGATTTCTGGCCTGTCAGCTCTTAATTTGTACACATGCATGCACACCTGAGGTTTATTTAAAAAATAGCTTTCATATCACCTAGGTCCCATTTGATTTAATTTGCATGTCAACAGGAGCTGAGAAATCTAGCTACATTTTTAAGCTTCATGGTTCTTGCTAGCTACTGCTCATTAAATTGAAGATTTTAGACTGAGTTTTACGTAACATCTTGGAATGATCTAACAGAAAATAGGCAGTTCATTTGGGCTGCGTGTCCTTGGGTTGTATTGCTCACACCTTATTAGTCTTCAGCAAATGTTCTACTTTCCTTTAGTTTTGGCAAGCTGCTTGGAACACCATTTCCTTCTTTTCATTCTGGTGGAGTCCAATTGTTCTTTGCTTATACTACATCAGCCTTTCCCAGAATTTAGCCTGGAGTTTTTATACACTGGGGAGTTTCCAGTGTGTTTAGATTATAAAATGATTTCCTAATGTGACTGTGACAGAACCACGCTCTCAGATAACACTGTCAAACTAGATTTCAGTGCTGTTTTTCTGTGTTTCTTTGTGGTATTTTACCCTACAGAAATGATGTGAAAAATAATTTTGTCTCTTGAAAGTGATATTTTTCAAATCATCCACCCAAGTAGTTAGGATTGTCCCAAAACTTTTTCTTGTTCTGTTTTTCTTTAGGTTTGTGTAAATCAATTGGTGTAAGCAATTTTCTTATCAGCCATCTTGAACAACTAAAGGAGGACTGTGTGATTACTCCACATGTTAATCAGGTGAGTGCATACATGTATTTGAAATATCTGGGTTTGGGTTTTACTTTGGTTTTTTTGGTTAGCAACCTCCTCCCCTCTCCTATGCATGAAAGGCAACACCCAAACTATTTCCTTAGTCATACAATTTCTTTTTTCATTTCTATTTACATATTGAAAACCATTCAGGAAGATGACCCGAAGGGTAGGGAAGTCCTTCCTCATATTTTCCCCACCCAGTTTCTCACAGGCTACTTGGTTGTGTCTGGGTACAAGACACAAATGACTGGTCCCTGTGACAGTTTTTTGATGATAAAACTGTTTAGAAATAAAATTCAAGAATCACAGAACATTTAGCATCTTCAGAGAGAACCAGTTTTTAGAAAGCATGTGTTCAAAAACTTTTGTACTTCCTGTAAGCAACACTGAAAGCCTCAGTTAATTATATATCCATGTAAGGGTGCCCTTCCCTTGCTCCCCCCTCATTTCCTATTTCACGTAAGTTCAGTCAACTCCTCGTTTAGGCAGGTGCTGTGATAGTCCTGGCAGAATTTGTTTTGCTGCCCTAGGCAGATCTAGGACGGCCACCTCCATACCGGCAGGCTGCCAGGACACTCGACAAATGTTCCCTTGTTGCAGGTTTCTGCCTACAGCTGTGCTGGAAGTTCATGCTCCCATTCCTTCCACCTCCTGCCAGAGAAAGTGTGTGTATGCTGACAGGGATGTGGGAACTGGAATGGATGGAGTGCAGGCACATGCTTTTCCCCTTTGTACAGGTGGTCAGGATTTCTGGCAGCTGTTTATGGTTTAATGTCATTAACAGCCATACAAGGCTTGCTCAGAGTGTGACTATCAGAACCAAACAACTCTGATTTTAGCTGTCCACTATGCTAAAGATTACGAAAGGACAATTAATTAATGTTAAAATAGCACAAAACCATATAAAATATTTAAATTCAATTATTTAAAATAAACCATTGAAATAAATATATGTTAAAGTGGGCAAGTTGATGACTGCTTAATAACTGGTGAATTTAAACAAGGTTCAAGAAACATCTTCAATACACATCTACGAAGACTTACATTAAACATTAAACATTAAATGTTACTGCCTGTTAAGTAATAGTAGCTTTTCAGTGTTCTACTAAAGCACTGCAAGGAAGAAATAGTGATTTTGTTTTGAAATTTCCTCTTACCCACAGTGTCAAAATGTGTCCAGTAGTACTTTTTCAATGGTGTTCATGCATGGAGACAAGCTGTTTACTGGTGCTATTTGACAAAACTCCCTTCCTGGGGCTAGGAAAGAGGAGACGAGAAGTTGAAGTGGTGGTGATACTGAGGGGCAGGAGAGGGCCCTTGCTCATCATTTCTTTGAAGTGGTACACAGCATCGTTCTGAATTGAAAGCAAAAATCAACCCACACCATTGCCAAGTGCTCCACCTTAAATAGATCTGTTATAGCATTAAGTTATACATTTTTTAGAGTTAAAGGAATTTTATAAACCGTACTTCAGCTTATCCTCAAAAAAGTATGTATTCTGTTTTTTGCCTAGTGTTGGAGAGTTACTGAGTCTGATGGTAAGATTACTTAAGTACCATCAAATAAATAATGAATTTTTAAATTCAAATTGGGACTGGAAATGCTCTACTGAGTTCTTATTTCACTGTCCACAATTTATAGTACAGGTTTTTTACTATATTTATGCATAAAATAGTGTACTGTTTCAATGGACTTAGAAAAATATAAAACATTTGCAAATAGTCATTGTATACAAAGTCTAAATATTGAAGAAATAAGTGGAGAAAAAATACTTCCCTTTTGGAATCAGGGTGTTCTTACTGTTACAACAGTCCCTTTATGATACTAAAATTGAAAGTTGGGTTTTTTCTGTGAAGAAGAGAAAGTAGGAAGGCAGGAGAAATAAGCAATTCTTGTTTTAAAAGCCAAGTTTTAAGTACTGCCTTTCTTCTCAGTTCCTGGGGAAAAAACAGTATCATCGTGTGTTTTAAAGAAGTAGGAAAGGCCTGTCTTTTCAAGAATATGGTATTGCTAAGTTATTTATTATTAAGCAAGCACCTTTTAAAATTTCAATATACAATTAAAAGTACTGGTAAGTACTTTATTCTAGCATCATGTAGAGTGAAACTTACAAATTAGAAGTTCCAGGTTTATGTGCCAGAGTTTTGTAATTAACTTGGCAGTAGGAAGTTTGGATTTATGCTCAACTTTGAAGTCTCTCTGAAGGCTCATTGCCCCTGTCACTCACTACAGGAAAAAATATATTTTATAAATATTTAATAAAGATATATGTTTCATTTACTAAAGTGATGTGCTGAACCCAAATATAAACTGTTCCTCTATGAATTCCATGTAGGAATGTTCATCAATATTTTTCCGGTCCTGGAGAAGTGTGAATTACTGTGTAATGACCTCAGAGAGACTTGGTTATGTTGTTGATACTGTCATTTATATTGAGCTCTGTTGTGTAAATCTGTACAAGTTAGAAATTCATAGGAGACATCAGAAAACAACCCCTTTGTGTGTAAACTCACCTAAACTGTTCCTCTATATAGAAAATATTCATAGACTTTCAGTGTTTTCAGTATTTCAATTTATTAAAGAGAAAAAATTGGAAGACAGCATTCCCAGTGAGAAAATTACTGAATTCCAGATGTGCAGAAACTTTATCACATGAAAAGGACCACAGCAGGGTGGAAAGAGTAAGGCCTCTGTGCACCATCATCTGAGGTATGACTTTCTAGGGCCATGTGTCGAGGTTGTTATTAGGCTCAACTTTTCCCCACTTGATATGACTGTTGTAAAAAACACAGTGCTTTAGTTGGGGGTTCCCTGTGGCTGAGCATGTAGCAGCTGTGAAGTTCTGTAATGTGAACTGCATACTGTTCTGTTAAACAGATGCCAGTTTTTACATGCCAATCAATCAGGGTAGAGTGCCTGAAAAGATCGAGATCTCCCTCTGCCATCATGTGACAGCCCTCTCCTGAGAAAAGTCTGGTGATGAAAATAGCAAGGGTGGGGCAAGACAGGAAGCAAGAATTGTTATTTTGAGGGGAAGCAAATGTTGACCACTCACCTTATGCCTCTTGTGGCTCAGGATCCTACTGCCTTGCATTCAGCTGCTGCTAGAACCTTCCAGAATTTTTTCATTAAAAATAAATTAAATTCAAAAGTGCTTATTTTATTTGATGCATTTGATTATTTTAATAACATATTTAAGAAGAAAAATACTTGCTCCTACCAACACAAAACTGCATGTGTCAAAATTCAATTCACAAAATGTGGGAGTCTCTCGATTCAGTGAAAGGCACAAAGTATGATCTTTTCAGGTGGAAAATAGTTGTTGCTATTTATTCTGCTTGTGAAGCAGGCAGGTGGTATCTCAGCATACTGCTCTTGATTTAAGCACTTCTGATGTAACCTGGAACTCTGCTGCCTGGAATCTTACTAGAACAGCAGGTAAATTCTACTTGCAGTTTAATTAGTAATAGATGCTGAATAAGTCACATGATGCCATAGAGGCACCGCAGATGTTTCATTTGATCCTAAATACATCATTCTTTATTTAATATTTTCTGAGCTACGCTATTTGCTATACTTACTGTAAAGAAGATCTGCTAAAATTGCTTATTACTCTTGTAATAATCTAATAATACACCCTGCTTGTTCTTCCATTTCTCCCCTCGTAGTTTTGTGTAGACACAATGAGACTATTTCATGTCCAGCTTAGTTGCAAACAAGTGAATAACTGTGTGACCTAAGCACTGCTCTTACACATATAAACATGAAATACAAAGGGTACTCAAAGGTCAAGAAACATCAAAGGTTGAAGACATGGATGTCTGCTGCTTGAACCTTGTTCCCGAGTCCACCTAGTAATTTAGATCATAGCAGCTTTAGGCTGACTCAGCCCAGCCTTCCAGGGGCACAGTTTTTTCTTAGCTCATGTTGAATGACTGCCAGCCTATTGTTCCTGACTATTGTTGTCTGAAAAGACAACATGTACTAAAGATGAGAAACAGGAAATGTTCATTTGTCCTCTTAGAGGCAGAAGAAATTTTCCAGATTCCATGTATTGAGGTAATTGCTCAGAAGAGTATTTTTCTTCAAAATGCGTAAGAGTTCAATCCCTGGAACAATGCTGATGACCAGTGACAAAAATGCATCACATGATTTTGTATTTTGTAGAGGAAAACACTACCCCACTTTGATCTAAATGCAGAGTAATTTAAATAACTTATTAAGGAACATTATAGAGTTTCTTTTCTGGCTTTAGCTACATGCCAGAATATGTCTCTCCTCTGAAATCATTAGTGTCCAATAATTTCTTTTTCTCCCAACTACTGTGTCTTTGTAGTTTATTATTTTTACTCTTTTAACTGGTTCTTGGAAATTTATGATCTTCCTTCCTACAAAGGGTCTCCTTCACACGTCATTCCACAGCATGATTGCTTCCCTGCACACGCTGATGGTGACACCACTGAATACGGGATTTGCCGTGTGCAATCCTTGCCAACAGGCTTTGTGTCCAAGGTCAGGTCCTCACCCTAAGCAAATTGTTCTGGTTGGTTGCTTGCAAACCCAGCCCCTGCACAGCCCCCTCCCCGCACCTGGGCAATTCAAAGATCATTAGAAAGAATCATTAGTAAAGAAACAGGAAAGGACATAGATTCGGGTAACGGAGAGTAATCTCAAAGCACCAATGAAAATGATCTGATGCTGACTTCCACTGTGCATTTGTATATATTTCTTAAAAACAGAGCAATAGTGAAAGTCCAGCTGCAGGTCAGGCAGACAACTGCACCTTGTTTTTGAGGGAAACATAAAATATAGTTAACTGTTGTGCCAATTACTGGTAAAATACATGATTAATACTCTTCATCTATCTTCTAAAACTGATACCTTACATCTACTTCCCAGAAGCAGTGACTTAATGCATGTTCTATTTTTAAAACAAGAGAAAAATTATTTTCATTTTCATTGCTGTTTTCTACAAAGTGTACTCTCAGGGTTTTTACTAAAAGTTTATTTCTATTTATCTAAGGTTGAATATCACCCTTTCCAAAGACCTCAGGAGCTGGTTGATTATTGTAGGAGCAGAAATATTGTTTTTGAAGGCTACTGTCCTTTAGCTAAAGGTGAAGCACTCACTCATCCTGCAGTCATTCAGCTGGCAAAGAAATATGGCAGAACTCCAGCACAGATTTGCATACGCTGGAGCATACAGGTAATGGAGGGTGGTAATAAAAACATGTCTCCTTTCTCAGGAAAAAAAGGCAAGTAGTTTGGGGTTTGTGCATCAAAACAGAATTTATACAGAAGGTATTTCTGCTTTATGTGTTGATGTTGTGGAAACTGATGTCTGTGCTGGAAATTTAGAATGTAGTACACAAATCGTGCCACTATTTCAAATATTATTTGAAATTATCTGGTTGTAGAGAATAAGAGCCACCCCAACAAGAGATGTTTCCAAAGTTAATGTTCCAAGCAGTATCCCTCATCATTCCATTTATGTCATTCAATACGAAGTACTAAGCAACAAAATAGTGTATTGAGTTGATATACACCATATAATGTGTTGGAAATCAACACACTGTATATAACTGCAGTTGCAAATGGCATAGAGAAATCTCAGTGTCCCCCAGAAGATGAAAGTAAAGCCTCAGAATATGTGAGGAATTTCTTGTAATGGTTTGAAGATAGACAATTTTCTTAAAATCTGCTGATTTTAGTGATGAGAAACATAATTCTTTTCAGAATGGGATTGTCACTATTCCAAAGTCAACAAAGGCAGAACGGATAGAGGAAAACTGCAAGGTAAGATTTGGTTATGCACTTAAGTCTGACTAACATCTGAGTAAGAATTTTTAATATGTTGGTTTGCTTTCCCATTTTCCTTCCCAGGAAGGAGTATTCTGGGGTAACTCAGTCAAAATTGGCAAATGATGGTAACATGAAATGACCCTAATGTAGGAAAAAAGTGTAACTCCCAAATATCAGAAAAGACCTGAAGAGCTAATCACTGTGTATAAAGAAAAATCCATAGAAGACCTTTTGTAGTTGATTTTTGTAATTATCAGTTCTATTTATTGTTTGTCTAGTTGTAGGACATCCTAATCTGGTTATGGTTACGTTCTTTATGTGATAGGCGCACAGGTCAAATGGAAGGATTTTGGATGCTATGCATAACAGTTTATGGAAGCTTTAAAACTCACTTGGGGATAAGTCCAACATGAAGACCTTCTAAGGAAATCATAGTCCTGCCAGAGCTGACTCTTCCCCTACCTTCTCCTTCTACTCAATGTGCAGAAAAGCTTCCAGCATGAAGGGGCTGGACAAAGAAAAGTGGGAATGAATGAGAATTGGCAGTGTGATTTCTCCCCTGCAACTTTTTAAAATTTCCTTTTAATACCAAATAGTTTTAATTCATTACTTGCTTTGTCTCTCTGTTTCTCTAATCTGAAAGTCTTCTTTCTTTAGGGTAGGCAGAACCACAACTTATTTCCAAAAATATCATAGAGTTATGAACTGCTACAGCAAATCTGGAAGAAACTTTGCAAGAAGACAGGAAACTTCTGTCTGCTTTTTGTATTCTTCTCTGTGTGTGTGGAGGTGTGAATCAATACACATGTAATGAGGATTTCTGCTGGTGGCCATGCCCATTTATACAGCTCCTGCTGTTGATTGTTTATTCTGAAATACACACTGCCTTCTGTGGTACAAGCACAGCTGCTTGTGGTAGTGTATTGGGAACCAGATCAGAGAACAAAACCAGTTTAAAAATCCTTTTTTTTTATATTTTATTTTTATTTTCCCTGATAATATTTAAAATCCAGATTAATTTCACCTTTTACAGAGTTAACTCTATGGCATCACCAATTCACACAACTGAGAGTCTGTGTTACATCCAAACTTAAAACTCTTAAGATGGAGAGTGGAAGAAATGGGCACAGTCAATTGAGTGTTGTTTATCACATTTCCCTTGTTTCCCTCATGTTTCTGTGTTGGCCTCTCTATCACTTCTGGTCAAGTTGGTCCTCATTAAACCCTCAGTATATAATACATAGGGTTTCTATGACTGGTTTAAGCTTAAAAAGCTTGAGAGAGCACTGAGATTTGAATACAAGAATCATTCCAGAAGAGTGGTTGCTGGATAATGTAAGATGGGAGGAGCTCATTTGGCTACAGTTCAGGCTCCACAGAGTCTTTTTATTGAGCACAGAGCTATGACAAAGAGAACAGAAGCAACTTCCTGATGATAATGTCTCAATAGACCACCTGCTAAGGGAGCACTCACACCATGGTTCACATGGCAGGTGTGGCCACAGGAGAAAGCAGTGGCTCTAACAACCTGTGTTTGAAGACAGGCGATTGCTTTCAAGTTGGAGTTAGTACGGAGGCACTGTAGCACTGTTTCTGTATTTAGGCGATTTGTGAGAGTTTTGTCAAAGTAGACTCATAGAGAAGACAATCTTTGTCTTGTTAGCTTTGTGAATGTCCTGATACCTTCTCTTTTTTCTGAAGTTCTGAGAAAGAGAACTGTAACACTCTAAACTGACCATTGGGATGTAAGTGAAATACTGAGCTCATTCTTCCAAAGAGATTGCAGTCAGGGTATTCCTTTACCTACCTCTGGCAGTGATAATAGAGAGTGCTGTCAAAAACAGCTTTGATATTCTCCTTGTCCTGCATCCTTGCCTGAGGCCAATGTGCTACAAAATCATCTTAACATAGTCTGCAAATAAAAATGAGTCACTAAAGGAGCAAAAGACCCAATGGTGCCTGTCAGCTTGATGGAGTATTTTTCTATGAAAAAATATAAGAAGAATTTTTTGAACAAAAAATATATAAAAATTGGGGCTCACATTTAAGTGAATCTTAGTCAGTTAAACACTAGAATATATATCAGGTTGTTGATTTTCTCCGTGTTCATGATGTTAACTTTATATATGTTCCCACAGGTGTTTGATTTTACAATAGCAGAAGATGATGTTGAAATTCTGAATGGAATGCATGATGGGAGACATGTTTCCTGGGATCCAACTTCTATTGTGTGAATCAAGGTTGGAGCTGTTTTTGCTTTCTCAGGGATCAGTGAGTCACACCATGTAATTTCAATTCATGGAAGGTTACAGTAACAATCTAATCAAGATAGTGATGTTTGCTAGTAGTTATCACTGATTTGAAATGTTTAACATTGGCAACAATGTTAACAAAAGATATTTTTGAGGGCAGCGCTTCTGTACAAGCCTCAAAGAGATTTTATATTTCCATTTCAAATTCTGTTCCTCAGTTCACTGAAGTCCATACAAAGACTCCTATTTATGCCACGGACCCTGCATCAGGCTGTTTTATTCAAATAGGGAGGTACTCCTTGAAAAATGTAGGGTAAAAGTGCTACTTGATAGCATGCAATATAGGTGTTGGGAATGAAATAATTTTTCAAGTACTTCATAAGAGAGATACAAAATATAAAGAAGAAAAAGCTGGATTAATAAAAATGGTACTGCCATTATCATAACAGTATTTATGTTGTACAATGGATTGCAAATCTCCATCAAAAATATAATCACCAAAAAGGTTTTATGCATATCACAGCATTACTATGGCATTGACTCAGAGTTCTATGCATATTAGTTACTAGCCTGCACATAAATCAAAGTAGAAATCTTTCTAGACAAGTCCAGGTCCAAATAAACTCTTTGCAGGGCCAAGAGGTGAGCAGCAAGCTCCATGAGACAAAAAGACATCTTTGTGATTACTTACTGGAAATTGGGGTGAGCTTCTTGTAGCTTTTTGTGAGAATTTGTTTAGATTTCATTTTGGGTTTGTTCAGGAAATCCCATTAAGAGACTATACTGTTCCTCAGATTTTCTTATAAAATAGGTATCACTACAGAGTGATGGATATGGATAAATGCAGCTCACAGATCTGTTTTGAGCAATATACCTGCAGAATCTATTGGCTTAGTATTCAACTTGCAGTCACATTGGTTTGATATTTTAGGAGTTCCTGTGTCTAGAAAGGTATGGAAAATCTGATTATGATTTATATTGTGTGTGGACTTCCTGAGGCAGTTTTCCCAGTGCTGTTCTGCTTTAGTCATATTGTGAAACAAAGCTCCTTAGCTTTTTATCAAGAGGTGACTTACTGCAATCACATATTCTAGCCCACATTGTTTGTCCTCCAAGTGTAGAGCTTCTATACAGCTTGGCTAAAATCTAGACAAATTTACCTTTTGGATAACAGATCATCAGAATTAATGTCTAGTTCTTTCTGGTAAACTTGTCCACAAAAAATTTATCTAGATTTGCCTCTAGAATCATTCGTATGAAAAACAAGATAATGTTTGAAATGCTGTTCACTAATACCTGCAAACATGTGGTGTTCTGAGAAATACACACAGTCTTCAGAGCAAGGTTATTTTCTAGTTTCAAGCATGGCCTGCAGTCTAGGAGCCTCCAATACCTGGGGATACCACTCTAGGTGTCTAAGAACAGCTCTGTACCTGACTCAGCTATTGTGATGAGGGCAATAGTTCCAAATAGTAAGGCTCATTTATAAAACTGATGTAATTTTTAGGCTTTTTTTTTTTTTTTAGCTTTTGCATAAAACTGTGGCTATGACTTAGTGAAAGTTGGAAAGATTGTCCAGAAATAAACCTTTCTACCAGGAGCTATCAGCTAATACTGCTTTTGAAAAGTCTCTTTCTAGAACAATGCTTTAGCAATATGAAAAAAAAATTAAAACTGTGCTGTTGAGGGACTCCTTGCTTCACAGTGTAAAAACAAGGTCTAGAAGTGAGTCATCTGCCTGATATTCCCTAAATATGGCTTTTGGCAGGGATGACTTTCTAAGAATTTACAAAACACAAGTTGGAGTTTCACCTCTAGTTCTCTCTAAAGAAACAGACATCACATCAACGTACTGCTTCCAACATAAATGATGTGTCAAAGGAATCAAATCTTTATCTAGGTTAACAAATTCTAGCTCCAGTATTACCAGAACAGGGTCAGTTAGGACTAGCTACATGGCTAGAGCCCCATGCTTGTTAGAACACTTTGGGGTTTTTGCACTTGATTCTCTCATCACCTCCCTATTCTGAGCTAATTCGAATTAAAACAGATATTCTTGCAAATGCCCCACATAGGTGGTGTTAGGCTACTGTGAGAATGGCTTTGAATTCATTAATTTATTTCAGTGTTCCTTCTGTCAAAGAGATTTTTCAATGTTTTTGGTGTCTGCACCTGCGTTTGCGAGGAAGGCATGCCACCATTTTTTCAGTCTAGGTCATGGTATCTAAGCAGTTCACTGATTAATGAGAGGAATAATCAGGTATAGTATTACTAAAAAAGCATTCCTAAGGAGCAGCTGTGGCATACTTTACTAATTGCATTCAGGGTGAATTGCTGTTGGTTCAGGACTTTTTTCTTTGGTGAGTTTTTTTTTCTTTATTTTATTTTGTAATCTTTCCTAGCATTTCCATTGCTGCTAATTAGTGCTTTTAGAACTAAAGAAGAGTTTAATTTTAGCTGTGTACTAAGTGAGGTGTAATTTGAGACAACACAAGATTTTAAGTGCTGGGACTCAGCTGACCCAAGCTATCTTTCTCCCAAGTGTGATGAGCAGTTTTACACATTATGCCTCACTTATAGCCATTGTTTTCTGCCAGAAGCTGTAATTGCCCAAGAGACTCTGAAACCCTATTATCTCCTGTGGCCTTGGGATAGATCACTGAAGCATCTTCCTTTGACTGTGGCATTCACAAGTTTAAGATCATGTTTGTTAATTTCGAATCATTGTGCAAGTCCTCTTTCTTTTGGTAAGGTTGCAGAAAGAATGACAGACTCAGTGGATTCATATTTTATGCTCCAATATACAACTACATTTGCATTACTCTGGCAGTGATAATTTTCTTTTTAAGCAAAGGCTGCTGAAGAAGAAGTCCACATCACCTCATCTAAATAAACCTTTCTAAAGTATTCCCAACATTGATCAAAGAAATAAGACAACTAATAAGAAATTGGCAAGTGAACACTAACAAGATTTAGGAGTAGCAGGGAGGATTGATTTATGGTAAGAGATGCAGACCACAGAAGATCAAAATGGTATAAAAGTGCTGGACATACAAAACCAGAAAGTTTATTTATGTATTTTATTTCTTCTTTGGTCAGTTAGCCTAGAGGTGTTAATTTTTAAAGATTTTGCTTTGTTTTAAACTCAGAATTTATCCCTCAAGTGAATTATTGGAATTATATGCATATTCTTCCCCAGGGTTGAAATTCTTCCTCTTTTTTTTATTTCTCTAAAACAAACTTCCCCTAGAGAGAAAATTTGTTCGCCTTTCTACAGTGACCCTTTTAAAGATAGATTTCATCTGGGTAACCCATCATCTTGCCAGTAGGATCAGGGAATACACCAGAAAACTAAATTCTTCCCTATCATTATGTCATTTATGGTAGTGACTGATTGGGACACTCCTTTTCAGTTGAGATAAACCATTGCTTAAAATAAGATGCAATTTATCAGTGCTATCTACCTAAATGCAGTCAGCTGCCTTTGCAGGAGCTCTGTGGCTCCTAATGGAAGGAAACTCTTGAAACAAACAAGGAAAAGAAAAATATAAACTAAAAATCAATGGAAAAGGTGAGGCCATTTTTCTGTGCAGCCGAGTAACTTCCTGACTGACTTTGAGTAGATCCCTCTCCTATTTTTTTTGCTTCCTTTTGGTTTTCATCTCTTACATTATTGGAGATGAAGGCACCTAAGAATGTTTCATTGGAAGATAATGGAAATGGGTTTTTTAAGTGAATATTCAGGAACTTTTTTTTAATGAGGCTGCAGAAGTGTTTCTATCATACTTGTTCCCCCCCAACATGACTTCCAAGGCATTATTTTCTGAGTAGCATGGGTAGAAGATTAACTGTAATACTGATAAGTTTGCAGAACTACTAGGCCAAGCCAACTGGATGATATTCACACCTCTGTGGTTAACCCATGCTTTTGAAAATGGAGTAAAGGTGGTGTAGCTCTTGCTGCTACTGACTGAATCCAAAGCAGTTAACTCTTTCCACATTGCCTCCCAAAGCTTTGAAGCTCACCTCTCACTATTGTGCATTGGGTAAAAAGAACAGATAAGCCAACCTGATAATTTTTTATGTTGCTGTGTTAGGAGACTTTCTCTGTACCTAGTTTCTTTAACTTTCTGCAGCCTCCAGTAAGATACCTACACACTTGAAAGAAAATGTTGAGTATTTGCACTGTGTGTTGCCAGTGTTGTAACAGGTAGCCCTCTGTAAGGCACTGTAGGTGTGGCCAGAGTTGTGGGATGTGCTGCTCAAAGGAGCACGGCACGGACGGATTGGAGCAGGTCTCAGTTGCTGTGCCCAAGAGGAATGTGTGTGATCCTAATAGTGGCTTGGCCAGCCAGTGCCCTTTGAGGAGCATTCTGCAGCTGAACTACTAGTAGGAACTTATATATATATGTATGTTTATATATATATATATATATAAGCAGTTTTATCATCCTGTTAATGATTTCTCCATATATTAAAGTGTGTTACAGTTTTGGATACAATGATATCCATGCAAACTATTGCATGTCACTTTCTCAGCTACTTCAATTCTTTCCCTTCAGACCTAAGCTTTTCCTAATTATATATTCAGCTTAGTGAGCTAAAAATAAAGTACATATTCTCACAAAAATGAATATAGTATAGCTTTTTACAATTGCCTTTTAAAACAAAAGGCCATTTAATTAATATTATTTATCAATATCAAGAACTTAACACCAGACCATTTAAGTTATAGAATACTGTTACTGAAAAAATGTGTGCTTTAGTCTTTGCAATTTTCTTGTGACTTTTTCTTTTCTCCAAACCAGGTTTTTGATTTTAATCTGAGGAAAGAAGATATGGAATCTTTGAACACTGACTATCAACAGAAAATTAATTCATCTAACCTATTCCCTGTGGAAAGAATAATTTAAAACCAGATTGTTCTAAACTGGAAAAGTGATGTAACTGAAACATTAACTAGTTTTAAACTGAACAATAAATCTGAATTGTTCTATTAGGTACTCAGTATACTCAAGAATCAATATAAATTGTTTGTATTTACTCTTATGTTAACAAATTAATAAAATAATTTACTCTTTGTAGCTTTGTTACAGATACAGAAATACTTTCAGCATCTGCTCTCGTAGAACTTTCTGGTATAGTCTCCCATGGGTTGAGTTATCTCACAATATTATAATATTATAATTTTCTTCTACCTGCATGTACTTCATTTAAGGTGTCATTTGAACCCATTTGAACAAATCAGTTAGGCGTATTTTTTTCCTTACAGATTTTGAAAAGTATCAGTTACTTGCAGGCACATGAGAGCATACTACATTGCATGTAAATCTTGACAAATAATTCCAAATATAGAATATTTGTCCAGGGATTGCAGCAGAAAAATTAATTCAACTTCTGTATTTCTTCTAGTCATGAGAATTTTGGGGAATTTTGCAGGCCATTCTTGATATTTTCTTGGTGACCAAACCTGCACTCTGATAGTGTTTCACAGATCTCCTGTCATGACCAGCACTTCAGAGAGGAATGGCTCCCTTTGTGACCTAAGTTGCATCAGACTGAATAAAAGTATTTTTTGCTTATATGGACAAAGATTTTTGAAGGTGCAGAAGAATGACGCGTTGGAGAAAAATCCTTTGCTAATCTCTCTTGCAGGGATTGTCACTATCTTTTCAAGATGGATAAGTGCTCAGACACTCCTCTGATGCAATTGTGAGTTGTCCAGCTGCACCGGGAGAGTTGGGTCTGGTGGTGTCAGAGGCCACTAGTCTTTTGATATGCAGGCATTGGGTGGACCCCAGCTTACAGCTTCTTTTCTGACGAGATCAAAGCCTTTTCCTGCAAGGAAATTGCTCTGTGACTAGCCAGGTTTCTGCAATCTTCACCACACTAAGCTCTCACTGGAAGTTCCACAAGAGCTTTTTCTGTCACATAGTCAGTATTATTTTCTTGTTGTTCATGACATTCCCTGAAACGTGAGTTTCTTCCCATCCTGAAAGCTACCTAAAAGCATATACATACTTAGGATCCATGTGAAAAATGCATCTGCCTCTTTATGCTAGACATGTTGCAGAACTTTTCTTTTTTAGCCAGTTTAGCCAGATGAGGTGTCTGTTACGTATCAGTTTGGTGTCCTGATGTGCACAGCTTTCCTGCTGGCATTTGACCGAGGCTTGCATTCTGGTTATTTCTGAAATGCATGCATAACATTGTGTTGTTCTTCTTGTTCTGACCATAGGCAATTCTAGAGTCGAGTTCTCAAAGGAACTATATATACACTGGATTTCTGTAGTAGAAGTGCAAGCTTCCTTATGAGTGGACCAGGCAGTTGGAGAAGGTACCGAGAAAGAGTTCTTGTTCTCTTGGTGGCTTGTTCTCTGGGTGAGGCTGTAGTATATAACCCTGGTGTAAATCCCCTTGCTAAACACTTACCAGCAACTACAGTTTTGGTAGAGTTGGCTGGACCAAACTGAGTCCTGTGTTTGTATTTTAGCCCTTGTAAGCAGGTTAGAACCTGTGCAGTTGAGCCATGTTAACCTATCTTCTAAGAGGGTTTAGACAGCCTTCAGTGCAAATCCAGCTGATCTGGCTCCATTTGCCTGTGAAGAGTGAAGCTGTATTTCAGTTTTCTCACTGCCAAGATGTCAAGAAGGCTGTAAATGTGTGTGGTCGTCTAAGTTTAATGATGCTTTTTGTGATATCCACCTTTTGGAGTGGAACATGCCTGCATATTTTGCCCAGTGCTGCACCTGGGCTGGGGAAACTCCTTGTATCACTAGAGGCTGACAGGCAGAGATGAAGGGCTTGGGGCACTGGTGGATGAGAGGCTGGACATGACCCTGCAATGTGAGCTTGCAGCCCAGAAAGCCAATTGTATCCTGGGCTGCACCATAAGCAGTGTGGGCAGCTGGTCAAGGGAGGGGCTCTGCCTGTCTGCTCTGCTCTGGTGAGACCCCACCTGCACTGCTGTGTCCAGCTCTGGGGTTCTCAGCAAAGGAAGGACATGGACCAGACATGGTCAGAGCAGGTCCACAGGAAAGATGCAAATAATGGTCACAGGGCTGGGATACCTCTTCTGAGGAAAGGCTGAGAGAGTTGGGCTTGTTCAGTCTGCAGAAGAGAAGGCTCTGGGGCTACTTTGTGGCGCTTAAGTATATGCAGGGGGCCCTACAGGAAAGCTGGAGAGGGACTTTTTACAAAAGCTTGTAGTGTCAGGACAAGAGAATAGCTTCAAACTGAAAGTGAGTGGGCTTAGTTTAGATATTGGTAAGAATTTTTTGCTGTGAGGGTGGTGAGGCCCTGGAACAGGTTGCCTGAAGAAGGGGTGCCCATCCCTGGAAGTGTTCAAGGCTAGGTGGATGGGGTTTTAAGCACTCTGGTGTAGTGGAAGGTGCCCCTGCCCATGGCAGCGGAGTAGGAACTGAGTGATCTTTTGAGGTCCATTCCAACCCAAACCGTTCTATGTTTCTGTGATTTTACACAGCCTCTGAAAATTAATTTGTTGGATGTCACATCTCTGAGCTGGTATCCTCTCAGTTGGTAACCAATAGCCTGAGCATGAAAGCCTGCACATCTGACTAATGAAACCCTGAGTCATTCTATCCTTTAATTAAAGCATGTTCCTTTAATATATTCCTCTTACTTAAAATTATGTGAGAATTATTTCCTAGAGGAAAATGCCTAGTGAATGCACTTTTATTTAGTATTTGCTATATATTAGATAAATAAGGGGGAAAGCTTGAAATATCTGGGGTCTGTCAGGCAGTTGCAGGGGATACATATGTCAGCCTCAAACATGATTTATCTTGTGTGCCTTTTCTGACAGTTGTGACTTAACGGCTATATTTTCCTCCAGGCTCTCAGGAGGCTAAATATCTTTTCAAGTTTCTAGCTTTGTGGTGGAAGAATAAATGTCTGTTTGCCAGTGTAATTTATCTGAGTCATTCTGGGAGAGGCGTGGAGTAATTGAAGCGTGACTATTAGCATAAATAAGAGAGGGACCCTCTTCCTGAGGGTAGAATACTCATGCTGTCTTGCAGAGGAAAGCTGCTTCCCCATAACAACTGCTGCTGCTAATTGAAAGGCACAATGCTTTAAACCAAAAGACCCAATATATTGAGTTTTGGCATATTGTGATATTCTTCTACATTTCAATTTGGAGTTAACAAGAGCAGAGCAAGGAAGGAAGAGAAAAATTTCTGCAGTAAGTGCAATGGTAAAATACCACCAGAGCTGGCATTTCACATATACCAAAGGTGGTTTTTCTTTTAAAAGTTTAAAGGGAGAAGGAATTATAAAACCTAAATTCACTTCTGTGTCTGTCCTTATATAATATAGTGGTATTAGTATTAAGTAGTTACCATTGCCAATTTTGTTTCTAAAAAAATGTATTTAAAACTTTTCTTCTTACTTTCAAACATGGGTATCTTACAGCATCCTCTGAACAGAAAGAGGCTAGGTTTGGTGGGGGCTTTTGGTTTAAAGCATTG